TTGCCATGATGGTTATTTTGGGAATTCCGTCTTTAAGATTTAATTTATCATGAGATTGTTCTAAGATTTGTCTAATCTTATCACGATAATCCTCAGCCCAATTTTTGATTAACAGAAAAATTTCTTTTGGAAGCAAAGTTCTTGGTTTTTCAAAAAGACAAATTCTTTTTATTTGTTCAAAAACTGGATCAGAAAACTTATCTGATATGAGGTCTGATAGCTGACGAAAATTGTTTATTTTTTCAAAGTTAAAATCTTCATTCTAATTCATTTGTTTAAAGGTATTGAAACAAAGATTTTACAAGTCTTTTAATTTAGCTGTTAACTCAGCTAATTTGTTGGCCAGAACTCCCATGTGTTTTCAAAATTTCACTTTGTTGTCTACAATGTGAGTTTTCCAAACTCCATTGAGTTCTGTATCAATTTCTCTGGATATATCAAGGTTGAAAAAATCTTTTATTTCAGATTCATGTGGTTTAGATGTCTGAATATTGGTTGAAACTGGGTTAGTTCTCATTTGACAAAAATTATTTTGATAAACAGGCATAGCTAGTGCATTGTAAAAAGCTTTTTTAGCTTTGGTCATGCTATCATATGCTTTATAGCTTGCTCCAGAAAATCCCTAAACTTGCGTTTTGCAATCATTCTATTCTGTGTAAATTCCAAGTTGTCTTCTTGCAAATACAACATAAACTTTTTCTTGTCTGGGGATTGCTTTTTTAACAATTATCACCCAATTTCTTTGAGCGGGTTGTTTACCCTCGTCCATTGTTTCCTCTTGGTCTAGAGGTCTTTTGCAAAAATTAAAATTACTTATTTAGTAATTTAATTTTTTGAAACAATTTCTACTAAGAAAATCTGCAAGAAAATTGTTAGTAACTTTAAGATGTTCTACCTCAAAAGTATATTCAGAAATTTTATTGTACAAGGCTAATCTTCTTCCTTGCTCAATAGGTTTTTTATTGATCAAGAAATCTCTTACTGCCTTATTATCAGTGCGTACGATAAACTTTTCTGGGGCTAAGTAAATATGAAAACTTTTGATTGCTAATTTTATTGCAAGTAATTCTTTTTTAAAAATAATATATTTCTGTTCATTTGGTTTAAATGTTCCAGAATTATATCCACAAATTAATTCTTCTTTTTGTAATTTTATGGGTATTGGAATTTTTTCTTGATCTAATCCCATTTTCTGATAAAGGTCTCTCTTTATCATGCCATAAATTACTTGGTATTGCTTTAAGAACACATCCCCAGTATGCTTCTGAGGCATCTGTTTCTAAAATTAATTTATCACCTGTTTTAGGAAGATAAACATTTGGTAAAGTTTTAACATTTTCTTTAATTTGTTTAATTAAAGCAACATCTTCTGCTGTCCATTCAAAAATAACATTTTTCCTTAATTTAGTTAACCAAGGAATTTCTATTTTTGAAAGATTTTTGATAAAATTTCGTCCATAATTTAAAATGCCTAATAAACTCTGTAATTGTGTTATATTTTCAAGAGTATCAGGAAAATCTCGTACTTTGGACAAAATATATTCTTGTAATTTTAGACCAATGTATATAATTGTAGAAACTGTAGAAGATTGTCAGAAGATATGAACTAAAAAGTCATTATCATTATTGTTGTTTAAACTTTTTATCCAATGTATTTATTATGTGAGGACTTTTTTTTCTCTAGCCTTTGGAAAATCAGAAAAGCCTACGGTTAGGCTTGATGACTTTTTTGTTTGTATATGTAAGATGTAGTGAAAGCCAACATAATAATGTATGTAAATTCTCTCCATCTTTGGTTGCCTACTTAGTCTCTAACTTCTAACTTCTCTTAACACCATAACTCCATCATAATTCCATAATAAAAATAGTAAAAAACTCTTTTCCTTTTTGTTTTGTAATTGGTATCAGAGCTTGGTGAAGAGCTTTTGAAAGTAAAATCAAGCTATGTAAGTATTTCTCTCCGTCTAAATTTTTGATATATATAAATGTGTATGGTGTGCTTTATGTTAAAAAAATAAAAATAAAAATAAAAATAAAAATTATTTAGTCAAGTTTAGTATTTAATTGTGTATCCTTTGCATTTTATATCTTCATAATTATTTGTTTCATTTATAGTTGTTGTAAAACCTATATGCTTAGTGTATGTCAAAGCCCATATACTCATTAAGATATTTTGACTATTGACTTTAAGATCATAAAGAGAGGTTTTAGGCACCGGATATATACACTAGGAGGGTCTTAGGTACCAACAACAATCTATAATGGCAATTAACCGTGAAGATATAATATGCTTTGGAAATACAAAAAATAATATTAATAATAAATATGACCATAGTTTGCATATTACTAAAGAGTCTGCAAATATAAATTGTGTGTGTTCCAGTTTAAATAAGTGTTCTTGGTTTTCCAAATTAGATAAAAATCAAAAAATAAATCAAAATTATCTAGAAACCAAAGTTGAGTCTATAGAATCTAAAATAAACAATTTGGGTTTTATAATAAATATTGACTTAAACAAAGAAGCAAAAAACCAAATAAACAATTTGGTGACAAAATTAAAAACTATGTCCTTTATAAATGGGCCTACTGACATGTCTGAGAGCAAAACCAAATTGTTCCAGGATAAGTTCCATGACCTAATCCCAATTCATGGCTAGATTTGGTTGGTATGCCCCTTGATAGGCTCCACGTGGTGGTTGATTATAGAAATTGTGCCCCCTTAGTTCAAGAACTAGAGCATAATTTTGTCCCTTCTGCTCAAGAATGAGCAGCGAACAATGGGTTGAATTCTAACCAACCTCCTTAGGGTTGAGGCAGACCATTTAGCATGGGCCTAGGACCAACTCCTTAGGCATTCTACAGATTATGATTCTGAAGGTTCTGGTACTGGTTCTGATTCTGGAAGTTCTGGTTCTGAGGATCTTCATGTTGTGGATTCTGAGGCTTCTGGGGGTTTAGAAAATTCTGGCTGTCTTAATTTCTAACTGCCGAAATCTTGGAAGTTGTCCCAAAGTTCAACACCTTGCCCCCCTTGCCCCCAAGTGTGAGGTTATTGAAGGAAGAGGCTTGAACAACTTCGGGGGGTGCTTGAAAAGTGGCAACTGGCCTACTCTGAGGATTCTGCTTTGCAAAGGTATTGGTCGGTCCTGTTGCAGGTAAAACTGGAGCTGGTGTAGGGGCTGGAGAAACCTTGTCACCAAAAGTAGCCATCATATTGGTGATAGCTTTCACCAAATCGGTCTAGGAATGCCTTATTTCCTGGAGGGGAGTGGCCAAGGAATGAGAAATTTTCAGGGAAAGTTCTCTGTTGGCTTCTGTCACAACTAAGACTCCCTCAGGATTGCACTGCACTTCTGGAGGCCTAAATTGCTCAGATCCTGAACTTTTAGGGGGTGACACTCCTGATTGAGCTGCAACATCCTTTCCTCTACCTCTACCAACCATAATGACGTTAGTAAAATAGACACCTAGCGTCCCACCGGGAGTGCCAAAATTGTTTGTCACTCAGAAACTAAGAGCAAACACGTTGGCTTGTGTTTACTATGAATGGATTGCGAGGGTGCTAGGACCTATGAACCTGGTCCAAGGTTAGGTATGTTTTGGAAATTTCTGACTTCACACAAGGTTAGGATTGTGTGTGGCTAAGAGGAACTGCCACTGGTTCGGATCTTGCCCCAATGAAGAGGACTTTTAACAAATTTTCTAGGTGCAAATAAACTAAACTAGAATTGTACTTACATTAATGGAAAATGAAGTACAATTGAATAATCTAAGGCTAACTTAGCTAAACAACTAATTGCTAGATATGAATTGCTTAAGTAAAGACAATTGGTTGAAAAATTGCTAAGATAATTACACACTCACCCTCTTCTATATATAGGAATCATGAATCATTATAATAGAAATCAATATAAATCAATCAATAATACAATTCTCTATTTCTCTTTATACATTAAATTTCTACATAATGTGTGAATGAACTCTTGGTTGAGTGTTTGGTGTTGGACCCTTTCAAATGTCATGCTTGGAGTCCTTTTGTAGTGTTGAAAGGGCTCCCTTTTCTGTTCCAACCACCAACATGTGGCAGCTCTAGGTCTTGCCACTTGTCCCATGTTTCTTGACTTGAGCCTCAAAAATAGCAGTCACTTTGACCACTAACAACTAGCTTGCCCCTTTTGTACCTTTTGTTGGTCCACTAAATCTCTTAATCCCCACGTGTGATCCACTCATCAAATCATGGATCAACCACCTTGCTTGATTTAAGGAAATGGGCATCTTGTGGGCTTCAACCAACTCTTATCTCCTAGGAAACGGTTGAGGCCTCTTTATCCTCAATAAATAATTAATTGACTTAGTCAATTTATTAATAAAATCACATTCTCATGTTCAGCCGCCATTCCACTTCGTTAGGCCCACCAAATCACCAACTCATCACCTTCCTATCACCACGTGGCATTCAATCAATGAGGAAATCGCCACGTGGCAATTTATGGCAGTTTTTGACATTTTCTTTTGTTATTTTAGTGGGTATCTTGTATTACATCGTGAATATTGACACCGTAAATAGGAAACAAAAGGATATAAGTCGCTATTAAGATCTAGAATCATAATCTAAAAGACTGGTTTATTAAGTGATAAGCTTCCTGCACATGTTTGTCAAAAAGCAAGCTTCAATTGGCTATGGCTAAAAAGCCAATTTATTAGCTAAAAAAATAAACAATAAATAAACAAGCCTTAGCTCATTTGCTAAAACCATTTCCCACCAAAATGCCCAAATTAGTCAAATTTACTTATGCTAAAAAGGCATTAGAAGATCCAAAAAGTTAGAAATCTACCAGACAAACTAGCATTTTTAGCATTAATTTTTTTGTTGTTTTTATACTTATTTTTAGCCAATAAGCTAACCTTTTATTTAACTGCCAAAGGATGCCTAAGATATCTTATCTTATCTTCCAAGTAACACAAAAGATATGACTTCATAAAACAAGGTCAGCATATACCTGTAATGATTTTGTCAGATGCACCACACTGCGCTTTGTAGCCCCATATGCAGCAAATCTAAAAAATAAAAAGGTAATCATGTAAAAATATGACCCCAAAAACTGCAAGTTCTACTAGGTAAAGGCATTATTCAAGTTACCAGGTCCAGGTATACAAATTTCACAAGTGTGCATCGTTACAGCCTGTAACGAACAATTATGTGCAACATACCACAATATTTTTCTTTCTAACCACAAATATATATATATATATATATACACACACAGAAGAAAAAGAAAACAAAAATTGAAAAAAAGAAAGAAAGGAAAAAGGTGATTAGAGAACAGATATTGATTACCCTACAATATACAAATGGTCCCAGATTTTATGATTCATGGGCATTCACTAGACCAGACTCCACAGTTATGTCCAACAAGTTGTGAATTCAACATGATATATTCAAAATCAAATGAGAACTGGTGTGGAGTGATAGTGTCGAGTTAGCACTTTTTAGTAGAAGAGTCACTGCAGCAGAAGGCGTAACAATGATAAGCAACATAGCATTGGCTTCAAAGATTGCATAACAGGGTGGTGCTAGTAACATTAGTGACAAATACTAGGAAGCACAGATACGGACAAGGTCACAGAAGGAATATGCCAAAGAAAATATGTGTTATATATTTTATTTACTATGTATATAAATATTACATCCATAAACAAGCAAAATTAATGAAAACTAACACAAATTTAGCATAAGAAAATAAAAAAAATTTAAATCAGCCAGAAACTAGATCTATGTTGCATTAGGCTCTAGAGTTTGTTAAGAGCCAATCTTTGGGTTGTTGATGGTTTGATATGAGTACTATATTTTTGTAAATTCCACCTTCATGTTTCTAAATATTATAATATGACCCCAAAATTAGCTTTGAAAATTTAAAATAGAGCTGTGTCCCTTCAAAAAAAAATATATTAAAAAAATGAGATGCCGCATGGCAAGTCCCATACATGTCTCCACGTGTCCCCACCAAATCCATGTCCAAAACAACTATGGCAACTTTTTTTAAAGTGTCGGTGCTTCATAGAGCAAATGCCTTGAACCAATGCTCATTCCCATCACCAACACACCTTTATGTCCTTACCCAACAAAATTTCCCCAACAACCAAACTACAGGGCGGGGGGGTCTTTCATTTTCATTTCTTTCCCATTCTCTTTCCAGGAGAATCAATGAAGCCTTCAATGAGCATAAGTCGTAAATATGAATAAGAATTTTGTAATACAGGTAAAGAAACAGTAAAATATTCCTTTAAATTGTTCAATACTAAAATCTAAGAATTTATTAAATGTACGAGGCCATTGCCAAGCTATGATATTTTTCAACTGCAACGTCTTAATAAAGGACACAGTCAAACATATGAACTATTAATCTATAACAAGTGGCATAAAGAGGTCATGAAGACAGCAATCTGCATTTGGCATACATACATTTCTAGCATACTACTGAACTCTATAATGCACAAGAGCAACATGACTAGGGATTATTAGGACGGACAAGAGTGTTGAGTTAATGGTGTTGGAGTCGATTATCATATTGTTAGCCAGTATTAGCAGTTAACTGCTGCTATACTTTTTGTGACGACCCCGACCTCCGAACTAATATATTACATTATTTCAATAAGTCTAATTGCATGATTATGTGTTTAATTGTGTGATTACATGCTTAATTCTATAGTTATCTGTTATTACATGGAATATCTATTCGAATTGGCAACTTAAAGACAAAAATTGAGAGCCAAGACGGCTTCAAAAACTGAAATTGAATAGCTTAATAGATTAATTAGAATATTTAGAATTTTATGGCAACTTTAATTGAAAATTGATTCGGATCAAAATAATTAGAATAAACTGATTGAGATTAGTTAGAATTGAGCCTAATTACTTAACCTTAATCATACTTGATTAGGCTAGCTAATCACACCATATAAATACGTCAAATAAGCTTATATGCTCATATATACATCCTTTGGCTGAGATTAGAGAAAAAGATCAAGAGGGAACTCAACATCTAGAGAGAGAGAAAGGAGAATTTGAAGGAAATTGTAGATGATTTTGGGATTTGAGCTAGTACATACTTGAATTCAAGCCCTAGGTATGATCTCTAACCTTAATCTTTGAAGAAGAAGCATGTACGAATTTAATTCATCTAAGTTTTGAGTTCATTTGCATGAAATTGTTAAGTAGATGCTTCAATCACCTTGAATTTGGAAGATAAGAGTTAATCATGTACATGCATGCATAATTTGAGTTAGAATTCATGAAATTCCTACATGCATGGCACATTTACACCTCAATTTGAAGAGTCCTCCATGTTTTCATACTTCTCATGTCATTTGATTATGTTTTGAAGAAATATAAACTCACTTTGAGTCAACTTGCCTCATAATTTGAAGTTGAAGTTTTTGGTTGAGAATTTGCCATGGTTTTGAGCAATTGGTTCCAAATTAACTATGTTTTATAATGTTCTCTCATATTTTTGTACCTAAAACACGAGTTTGGAACCTTTAAATACCAAATTTGAACTTCAAACACAGTTCTAGAAATTCCAGAATTCGGCCTGTCCGCTCGAGCGAAGAAAGTGTCGCTCGAGCGTAAAAATCGAGCTCCCAGAAGTTTTATGAATTTTACAGACCGATCGAGTGGCCAAACCCTTTTACTCAGTCTTTAGCTCGAGTGACCGTCGAGCGGAAATTTCATGCAACCAGTACTTTTTGCCAAGTTTGTAGATCGCTCGAGCGACAGAAGTTGCGCTCGAGCAACCACCCTTATTTTTGAACCCCCGCTCGAGCGAAGACCCTGTTTTCAGCAAAGTTTGACTAACTCTTTTAAGTGCATACCTGCATCCTCATGTCATTTCAAGTACTCGTAGACCAATTGAACTCATATAAACATGGAATGAGTTAGAAACACATGAGGAAAATTTAATTAAAGCGGAACGGCTATCGAACGGTATTCCAATTGTACTTTTGTTATGTGTTTTGTATAAGTGGACATCCGAGACCTCGTGACAACATAAACCACAGTGAGTAATAACTTTATAAAGATATGTTCAAGTTATGTTTATTTTCAAAAATGTTACTATTAGCGAAATTGATATATGAATGATTGAATGGCTTATTGAAACGATTGGTTTATTGAAACGTTATGATGATTTATCAAAACTATTATTGTTCATCGAATGGTTTATTGAAACTCTAGTTTCTTATGAATGAATGAAGTTCCCTCTTAGAAATGTATTCGTGGCATCCTTTAGTGAGACCCTTGCCTGGGGGAGATTAATACCATGGCTTATTGACCCTTGCCTGGGGGAGTTTAATACCATGGCCCATTGGCCCTCGCCCTCTGCTGTCAAACCTTAATGGTCACATTGGATATGATATATTGATTGACCCTTGAGGTCCCATTGTTATTAAAACATTGTTACTCTATTGGATGTGCCATATGTTTGAATGAAATGGTTATTGATGCTAAGATTGATATTTGTAATGGTATTGAACTTCATTCATATAACCTCTTTATCCTGTTATTACTCATTGGGCCTTAACTCACTATTTATTTATATATATGTAGGTGGGCAAGCTGAACATCAAAGTTAAGAAAGCCTCAAGTCTACCCGGGTTAGCCTTTTGAGGAGCTTCCAAGTGAAGTAATTAGGCTTAGGTGGAGCCATGCTAGTTGAACCCCTTTTTGCTTGATAAATGATTTTGTGTTTGTGTATACTTTGGGGTTTGTATAACTATAAAATTTGGCTGTTTGAACTTATGTGATGTTTGTGCATAATGTATAAACGTTTGCTTATGATACAAAGTTTGCTTTCTCCATGTATGCACGGCTCGATGGATAACTTATATATGTTGTATTATACTTCCACTAAGCCCCATACTTTATTTTAAATGGATTTTTGTTTAGAGGGGATAGGTAATCCATGATTACTGACCGATCATGGCACTAAACCTATAGGGGCGAGTTTGGGTCGTGACACTTTTGCTGCAACATTTGTCTTGCTTGGGAGTAACCATTCCACATTACGCACCTACCCCCAACCCCTTTGTGTGATTAACAAGGGTGATCATTATCTATTACTACAGTATTCACAAGCAGACCAACAATATAAAATGGTCATTACTCCTTGCTGGGATAGTCTTACTGCTCATCTTTCAATTGTTTGCTTTAACTTGCTGAATCTCCACTAAATAACACATGCTTCAAATATCCATCATGAACTTGAGGGAGGTGTCAGATGCAGTAAATATATTTGTATTCCATTGTTACTGAATATAGCCTATTACACATTTGCAATCAATGTAGATGTACTTTGGCTTCACCTCTTTAATATTATAAGCAATATATAACCATTACACAAAAGATAAAGCATATCATAATACAAGTAAAGTTCAATTCTCTATGATTCTATTAATGGCCTTATTGAGAGTCCAAAGGAAGCAGTAGAATAATCATTTTCCAATGATCAAAAGTTTGTAATACAAGAGATCCCCCAAGAAACAGACAATTAAAATGTAGACCCATCCCTTTATGGCACGTAATGGGTACAAGTTCCCCATGATCCCAGTTAGATAAATTTTGCAGTATGTCTACAACACCCCATTCAACAGAATGATAATTGAACTAGTTGGACAATGAAGAGAAACAAAACTACCTGGGCGTTGGCCTTCCATCTGAACCAGCTCCATCAATATTGAAAATATGACCCCCTCGAGGCTGGTCCAACATCATCTTTATTGCCTATATAAGAATAACTCATGAGCATAGTCCTGACAAATGCCACTCTTGAGAACTTCAGAAAGCTTTTTACCTCTCGACAACATATCATCAAACCAAGAGTGTTTGTGGTGACAACTTCACTGTACATAAATTGAGTCCAAATCATTTATTTTATAATAAATATATATATATATATTTTATATATATAAATAAATAAATAAAGACATTGCATCGAATCAGGTAAAAAAAAAAAAAAAAAAAAAGCTCAACATCTTACATTAGATCTTCATCTGAAGCTTCTGACAGTGGTTTATAGCTATAAGCATTTGATCCTGCATTATTAATCTGCATCATTCTCAAGATTTTGTAAGAAGGTAGCAAAAATGGAATTGCAAAAAGTCAATGGTCAAAAGTTAAAAAGTAAACAATAGGTAATAAAAAAACATTTCAAGTGATGATAGATAACACCAAGATAGGAACTAGTAGATCACCAAGTCCATGCTGGAGTTTCAACCGAGGGTACTAGACTATTGGCCTGTTGGTTAATGAGGAAAAAAAGAAAACAAAACTCAAGACAGCATAAGATCAGCAGAAGTGGGAGAAGGGAAAAGGGGGATAATTTAAACAAGTAGGAATGGCCTAAGTTCCACCCTTTCCTACTTATTCAATAATTACATATGAAGAAGAAATAAGCGGAACAAAATCACATACGGTCTGTATGTGAATAAAGGAGTACATTCAGGGTCCACAAGCTAGAAAATTATTATGAGTATTGCCAATTCAAAACTCCATTGATCAAATATCCCGGTAATACCAAACTACTTACTCAACCCAATTCGTTTTTATGGCCATCTGAAAACTTACATCACCACAAATGTTTTAAAGATTTTTTGCCTGCTGTCACTGACATATCTTTGTTTCCCAAGTTAGCAAAATCAGTCAGTTGAATTATGAGATCAAGCTACTCTACGTTCCATAAAAAGTAAAATCTATAATCACCTAGCTAGAAAGGACATGCATGGTCATAGTCTTTGAGTAATGAGTACAACCAATAAATTTCCTGTCTCGTGGTAATCCTAAAACTGACTTTAGAAGAAGAGGTAACTGTCTACAATAAAATAAAGTAAAAAAAGTATCATGAAGATATGTGTCACCAAAAATGTTGCAAAAGTTTCACCCAGAAAGATGCGGCAGTGGCATTCTTTTATAAGCCACGATGATGGGTATTTAGGCTAAGTTTGGCATCCCCTAAAAAAGTTAAAAATTCAAAAAGTCACTATCCTATTTAAGTCACATCATCTTATTTAAGTCACATCACTTCAAACCCAATCCATATTTCATAAAAAGTCAAAAAGTACACTTATTTAAAACATCCCAAACAACCCCTAAGAGTTTGGAAATGAGATGATCATAAAGAGCCAAATCATTATGTATGAAAATTCTACCAAAATAAAAATTTGTTTGCACAGGAGTACTTTTTGTTACTATATTACATATATCTAACAATTAACACAAAATAACAACGAATGATCAAAATCAAGTACCCATATATCGATGTATTTCAGTTTTTCTTTTGCAAATGCAACTAAATTCTTCACATCATCCCCCTGCCTTACATCACATTTTGTACCCTGTAGATGGAATCTTCCTCATATTTTCTAAGTACTATATTACATATATCTAACAATTAACACAAAATAACAACGAATGATCAAAATCAAGTACCCATATATCGATGTATTTCAGTTTTTCTTTTGCAAATGCAACTAAATTCTTCACATCATCCCCCTGCCTTACATCACATTTTGTACCCTGTAGATGGAAGAACTGAATCAGAACTAGGGTTGAAGTAAAGAGCTCAAACCTCAAAAAGAAATTACAGGAAAATTAACAAAGAACAGAAGGAAAGAATTTCAGAAAAGAAAGGACGAAGCATCTTTTACAACAAAAAGAAAAAAATAATAAATAACTAAAAAGCTTAAGAAGACATGAGGGAGGTACCCACACATGCTGCTCCCCAAATTCCCCTCTCAAGTCCTGAAGAGCAGACTCCACCCGTTCAGCTGCAAAAACAATTTAGTTAAGCTGCTCCAAACACTGATCATTATGTTTTTGCTGTAAGCCAAGAAATTTTCAAGAAAAAACACAACTACAACAAACCAGGGCAAACCCCAGAAAGACAAACAAACACAAGATCTACTGCTTGGGTCTTGGTTTGACCTGCCTGATTGGATCTTGTGAGATTCTACGTTTCTGTGCTGAGTTCTGTTTGACTGGTTTTCAACTTCTTGTGTTGGTCCTAGTTGCTCTGAAATTCTGGTTTTTAGTTGCTGTTTACTGGTTTTTCTGTCTCCTTATTTGATTGGGTACTATGGCTCAAAAAGGTAGAAGAAGAATAGGTGGTCATGGTAGGGTCTTTGCTCCGAATTTGGGTGAAGAAACTGAGACGAATTTCTCAATTGAATAGAACTACGGTAAAACCAAGATCAAATGAATGACATTGAAGAATTGAGTGAACAAGTTACTACTTTGATTGGAAAAGTGCAATGTTTGCAACTTCCAATCGATGGTAATGATGGTTCCAAGAATCATCTTGGTGTTCTGCATTGGCATCGAGTGTGTTCGTATGAATTTGGTGAAGAAGAAATGAAAGAAAATATTGACCATGGACAAGATTGGGATCAAGACGTTCCTATCTTTGACAAAGAGATAGAACAAGAAGATAACCAAGGTGCTTTTCCTTTTGATGCATCAACAAGTGAAAAGTTGGACTATAAAGAATTTGATGATTATGGTTATGAAGAGGAACTGATTTGTAACGAAGTTGTCGTTAGTCAAGCTACTATGTGTTAAGTTCTTGGTTTCTGTGCTGAACAAACAATTTGGGACAGAGGGAGTATATATAAAAATTTGTCATATCCCCATCGTGTCCATATCCTAATTTTTTTTGAAAATCAAAGTGTCATGTGTTTGTATCCGTGCTTGTAAGTGGATATGCCCTCCTTGCTTTCTTACATAAAAGTGAAAAATAAATTCTAGAGAGAGGAGAAAAAATCCTGAACTTATAGTCCCAAACAGGACATGTAGTGGCTGACACATGTTGACCATGTAATTGAAGTACCCTAACATAGAAGAAGAACAAAAAAGACCCATGTAGTACACAATATTCATAAACTACATGCAAATTCCTCAAGTTAGAGCCTGAGTATCACCAGTGGTCAGCTTCTTAAGATGCAAATCACTTGATATTGACTTCACTAATGCTTTTGAAAACATATCCAAAATGTCCTTAAAGAGTTTACATGGAAACTAACTGTTCTCTTTTCTCTTTCTTTCATCTTTTTTTTCTTTTTTCTTTTTTTTTTTACATGAGAGGGAACTGACTATTCTCTAACTTCTCAACATGTCTCTCCACAATCAAATGGCAATTTACCTCAATGAACTTAAGAATTTGTCAAAGTTCTAGAGCTCATGCAAGTTGCTATAAATAATACCAACTAAATTCAAAAGTTCAAGAGCTCTATCAAACCAACATTTTGAAAAACATACAACAACACAAATACAAATAATAGAAAATACAATCAAATTTATGGAAGAAAAAATTTGATCACAAGCCTGATAAGTCAGTCCTTACTTGTTCTTGAGCAAATTATGACGTTGTCACCTGCCTTTAGAAACTCTTTAGCTAGTGCATACCCTATTCCTGAATTAAGTGAAAATAAGTACATGAAGTAGGAAAAAAAACTACCAACTAAACAAAAAAACTGAATTTATATCTATACTATATCATAAAGTGAACAGGTCAGGTCAGATCAGCTTGATGTCGACACTTTTTTCGATTTCAAAATTGTCCAACAAAAACCACTTTTCAACTGGTAGAAAAACTTACTTTTGTTTGTCTCAACTGTAAAGGTAAAGTGGTAAAATTCACCATTCAAAATCAACCATTTATGTAACTGCAGCAGTACATCACGCACACACGCAATGTGAGGTGCACCACTTCTAGTACATGCATATGTGCATACACACATAAAATAGAGAGAGAGAGAGAGAGAGAGAGTCTGAACATAATTTTCTTCTTCACATATTTTCTGTTAGTAAATGAATGAAACACTTCATCTAACTGATCAGTGGGAAAAAATTATTCAAAGAAATGTGTATGTTACCCCAAACTCCTTCATACTGGGGAGTCATTAGCCATGTCTCATGTGACTATTTAGGCTCCATTATCCCAAAACAAGAAAATCAAAGTCCTGAATTCCCATACAGATAAAATGACGTAAAGGATTTCTACTAAGCAATCAACAAATATTTTTGAGAAAAAACAACAATTTGAAAATTTCAAGAGAAAATGTAAGATATCCATACCATTTTTTCATTAAAAAAAAAAAAATAGCTCATCAATTTATGCGGAGGTACATGTTGACAGTTGTTCAACTGGGAAAAATCAACACCATGGGAATAGCTGAAAATTAAATTTCACTAATAACTAGAAAGACCTACCATTGTAGAAGCTCTGACCTACATTAGCCATGACAGCTGAGAGGGCAAATTGTGTCGGAGTATTGGGCTAGGCTAATCACAGTGAAGCCTTGAGTTATAGGCTGGTCAGACAAACATAGCACGTACTTGGGCCGGTTAGACAGACAAAGCTTGAGCTTGGACCGGGCAACGGTTATGTTGGCCTAATGGATTGGGTTGGGCAATACTCATGAGTCATATCCCACGTTTGGCTGGGCAAACGAAGCCCAGCTATTGGGCGCAGCGTGTTATAGAACCTAGCAAACTTGGCATTCGCAATTGGTGTTTTGTGTGATGGAAGTTGACCGATCAATGTATGCTAGGTTGAAGATCCTAGCCGGACATAGTTGCACAGTTTTAGGCTTTGTTTATACTCGGTTGCCTTTAGGCCGGAATGAGTAGGAGGACGACTAAGGAGCTATTTAAATGGAGAGCAACCGGGCAGATGGTTTGCTCGGCCCGGTTGACGACTTAGAGGCGGGTAAACTTCACAAAGGCCTGTCGGGTCAAGGTGTCTAAGGATATCCTTTAAGGCCCCGTTTGCTTTCAAAGGTAGAATGGAGGGGATTCATAGTGAAGGGATTAATAGTGAGAGGATTGTTAGTGAGGGGATTAAGTAAAATTGTATTTGTTTTGATGATAGTTGTTAGTGTAGGAATTGTTAAATTATTTTTATACAAAATAAATATAAAATAAAAAAAAATAATAAAAAAATACAAAAACATTAAACATTAATGTTCAAAAAAAAAAATACCCAACATGTAAAAAATTAAAAAATAAATAAATAAATTCAAAAAAAATAAAACAATGATTGTTACTTAACAAAAAATACAAAAAATTAAACATTAATGTTCAAAAAAATGCCCAACATGTAAAAAATTAAAAAATAAATAAAAATAATAATAAAAAATTTCTAGTCCGGCGGACTATTTTTCCAATATCACCTCCACCTCCTCCTCCATCCCAATCCCCCTTCAAAGGTCTAACCTAATCCCCTCCTCCATCTCAATCCCTTTCCCAAATTTACAAACAAATATAACATTAAATGAGTCCTACCTCTATCCTAATCTCATCCCTCCCTCTATACCCCAAAACAAACGGGGCCTAAGAGATAGCTATTAGACCATTAAGCTGCACACCTATATCCGCTAACAAAAGTTAAAAATTATATTTTTTATTATACATAATTTTATAAAAAAATATATAATTGAAAAAATAATTAATACATATTTTAAAGACACGTTAGTAAAATCTTATTAGAAAAATAATAATATTATTTAAGCAAAAAAATCATATATAATTTTTATTTAGAATAAAACAACTTATATTTTTAAGAATGTTATCATTCGTATGATAAATTCTGTAATAAAAAAAATATATTGATTTTCTTTGTAAAAAACAAAAAACACAAGAAACACTAAGAAATTGTTTGATTTATTAAAATGAAAGTGAAATTGAATGATTATTCAATCAATCCCCACGTTCGATTCATTAAAAGTGAATTAAAAAAAAATATTATTTATTATTATAAATAAATAATTATTTTATTAGAATTTAAAAAATTATTTATTTTATTTTACTTTCATTTAAATGAACCAAGCATAAATTTGAATGCGTGGTGTGGGGACCGGACTAGTGGTCTGAAAAGAAATCTGTGACCAACAGGATTTGGTCAAGGGAATAAGGCTTTTGAATTTCTTGCTCAAAACTTGAGTTTGGGTAACCATAGTTTCTTGTTAGCATTAAATATATTCTTTAGTACTTGGAGTATGCGAGGGTTCTTATAGATATAGAATAATGCTTGGGATCTCCTTTTGGGGGTCACTCCTCACCCCCCTTTGTCACGTGGCAGGGGGTGATTGGAGGAGTAGGAAGAAAAAGAAAAAGAAAAAGAAAAGGTAACCAATGAGAGAGAGAGGGGGTCAAAGGGGGTGGGGAGAAAAGGGGGGATGAATCATTACTCAATATTATATGATTTTTTGGAGAAGAGAGAAGGAAGGCAAGTTTTAAGAGTATATTTTTTTGGAAATCAGTGAGAGAGATTAGGATGGAGAGATTATGAAATATTTTTGTTATCTTTCCATTTGAAATCTATAAATTAAGGGATAATTATTATTTTTAAAATAATTAAATCCACTAAACCTAACCCACTACACCACTATCACCATCCACTACACACCATCCACTACACCTACATCTATATAAGGAACCATTTGTAATAGACAGTAAATAACAACAACACAATACATCAATCAATAATACAGTATTTTTGTAACATAATGGAAAACAATTTATAAAGAGTGAGATTAGTTCAATTTTCCTTATCCTTAGAGCTGGGGACAGCCATTGAATGAACTTCACAAAAAAAAATAATAAATAAAAATAAATAAATAAATAAAATAAAAAAATTGTAAATGATGTGTGCAAGTTTGCGATGGTTCAAGAGTCCTACATCGCTTCTTCATACATTCAATAGGCACAAAAAGCTCTATATAATTGAGGGAAGCCAGTAGGCCATCTTTGCTACGGCTGTTAAAAGAGAATAAATATTGTAAAGTCCACACGAACCGAGCTCGAGTTTTGTTTTAGTCCAACGAGTCGAGGGCGAGCTTAGTTGTTTGAAGCTCGATTCGAACTCGAGCCAAGCTCGAACAAGTTGATACTCAGCTCAGCTCGTTTGCAGCCCTAAATACAAAAGACTTAAAGTTTGACCTAAGAGAGGTAATGCAATTCTAAACACTTGACTACTCTAGAGAGCTTTTCCCAAATTTGATCCCTAATTCTAACTTAGGCATCGGAGGGGTTTTCCGGCACACACCCGTTAGCGAGCTCACTGTTCTTTTGTTTCAAGTCATACGACGCCGTTCGCAGAGATTAACAGCTGATCACAAGGTACTAATGTGTGGGGTAAATTCCGCATCCACATAACAGCTATTACTATAACTAGGACTTCTATAACATTGTTGAATAGCTTGATATACATTGTTGGGGCTATTTCCTAATAGCTTAAGTTTTTGGAAAAATTAATGACTTAACATGGTACCATTTCATTGGTTAAGAGAGGTCTTGGGTTCTAGTCTCTCTATCAGCATTTGGCATTTTGTCCCTGTTTGGATTTCTCTGTTTGATTGTTTGCCTCTACTTCTGTTAGGTTCTCTCTTTGTCTCTCCACATGCAAGACAGGGTTGCACGTGAGGGAGGGTATTGAATAGCTTGATACATATTGTTGGGCCCATTACCTAACAGCTAGCTTTTGGGACAATTGGTGACTTCACAAACATTACACAAAGAATCTGTCATTTGAACAAAATTGAACTTTGGAATGCAAAATTCTGAGTTCTTCAACATCAAGCATGATGCGTAAGAGTTTATTCTTATCCACCCTAATGAGGTGACAACTGCACTACTGATGTTCCTTTTTATTAGACAACGGTGATATATCATCAGCTTGTTTCAATTATAGTAATTCTGAAATGTTTTGCAATCATTGCCTGATGTTAAAGAAACTTAGCCCAAGGCTGCTCAAGAGTGGACTTTATAAGGGTTTTGGTTATAGATAACTTCTATGTTTAGGGTTCTAAGAGGGAGAATAAAGTTAGCTGGAAAAGGTTTGTTTGAACTTGATTTTCAAAAAGTTGCAAATTGCAGGATTTCCGGACTTGTTGCAAGTTGCAATATTTTCTGGACAACAACAATTTTATGGTGTTATAGGGTGAGGCCAAAGGGTATGGAAAAGATTGGGGACAATTTGAACTTGATTGGCTAGGGTTTAGGGGTTGAAAAGGAGTTGTTTTATGACTTTGAACGTGAAAGTAGTAACCGGGTCTATGCACGAAGAAGAAGAAGATGATGATGAAGAAAGAAAGAAACCACAAGCTTTTCCTTGCAAGGGTTAAGCAAATCTCACACATACAAGATCAATTCTTCATAATGGGGGTGTTTGGCAAGAAATTTTTCGCTTTTTTTAAGCTAAAATCCACAAAAAGACAAAATAAGCTAAAATAGCTAATAAGACAAAATGTCACATCAAATCCATTATCATTTCACTTTCTTCTCTCACAAACATCACACGGAACTACAAGTTCAAATTTTAGCCTATTAAAATAGGCTACTAAAATAGCAACTTCCCAAACACCCACAATATCAACTCTATTGAATCAATGGGATTACACATATTTTATAGACTGAAGGACTCTCCTACTTCTATAAGGACTAGCAATCTAGCTTAGCAACTAAGAATTCTAGACCAACTAGAACTCTAGATAATATTAAAATAGCATTACTTTGACTCAATTTATATACACTATATGACTAAGCATTCGATGTATAAAACACATAAAAGTTAGACTCAAACTAAACCTAAACATAATCAAATAAATCCTTAGATGTGTTCCATGTGAAATTCCATATTTGTCCTTTTCTTCTTTCTAGGCTCATCACCAGTGCCTTGCTGTCATTTTGATTCAACCCCTGGTGCTCTTGTAGAAAGCCGTTGTCATAACACCAAAAGTGTAAGATCCCAAAAAAGCTTTATCCCACTAATTTTTCATTGGACCTAAAGTGGCCCACATTCATAATCTTTTGTTTTTTTGGTACACCACACATTCATAATCTACATGATCCAAAATGTTTCCAAACTGTCAATAACCTCTCTAATGTTGGTCTCATTCTCTAAAAACTTCACGTACCAGTAAACAGCCCAGCCCATGTAATTGACTCCATATCAATGCTTGGTAGAGAAATTTCCCATATTTTGCCCCACGTGTAACTAAAAGTTCATCTGTTAATCTGCTTTTAAACTCAACAGGACACTGCATGGTATGGGAAATTTCAAACACAAGAAACTAAAGATTTGCTCTTAGTCTATTTTTTAATGGATGTGAAATATTTAGCTTCCACATAAATGAAATAATAAATTTCACCCCTGACATATCTTAAGGGAAATCCTTTTCAAGGACATCAAATTTGGTTCCACACCTTGGCAATAATTTACTACAATAAGTGCTTTAAATTCCTTAAATAACTATGTTACACGTGGCTTCTTGTAACAAGTGTTTTGAGCACATTTTTATACTACTTTCTAACAAAAATACATATAAATTACAACTGTAATGTAACATTTGGCAACCAAGTTATAAACTGTAACTATTGAAACTATTATTTTTTTATTGCTCAATTAAGTTGCAAAATTCTTAATTATTATCATTTTAATGTTGGAACATATATCAACATTTTGTTTTGTCCATTTCTTTGTGGGTATGGTTAACAATATACATTATCTATGCCATTATATAAAGCCTACATCTGATCACAATTTTTAACTTTATCATAACATTTTTTAACAACACGCCCATTGGGCACCCAAGTTGGTATGAACACTGTCACACTTTTTAACATTCCCAAACAGCCCTTGTACAACTAAATCAGATTTTGGTTGAAAATTTTGAGGAGAGAAATGGAAAGCGAAAAAGGAAATACAATCCCACTTTTTGTTTGGTTATAATGAAAAAAACGAGGGAAAAGAAAGTGAGAGATAAATGCAATCTCACATTTTGTCTTTTGAGTTCACTTAGGTTGTGTTTGGTTGGAGGATTTAGGAAGGGATTTGGAAATAGAAAAGTGAAAGGCGTGTGAAACTAGGTGAAATTTGAATCCTATCCATTCTTTCTTGTTTTCTTCCTATTTCCCTTTCTCTTTCCATTTCCCTCGTCAAATCCACAAACCAAACACAGCCTTAACCATAATTTTTTCAGTTTTTTTTTTTTTTGGTTGCCCACAACTGATTGATTTTCATGAAAGCAAAATGTCAAAAGCAATTTCATTTTATGCTATGAAGTAAAATTCAATAGGAGAACCCCTACTACCAATAAAAGTTGAACTCCCAAGAATTTCAATTTGAGGAAATGAACAGTCCTTACATTACAGTTGGAAACATAAAAAAGAAAGAACAAAAAAATAAAAAATAAAAACTCTAGAATTAGTTAAAAGTGGTCAGATTTCTAGGCAAATCAAGAGAAGCGAACCTTTGGTGGAGCCAGTGATGAGTACATTGTAAGGAGGAACCATCGGGTCTCTGCTAACTGACAAAGAAGAAGAAGAAGAAGCCCTTATGAGTGGTGAATTTGAATTTGAATTTGAATTTGAAATTGAAATGGGCGTAACACTGGAATGGAGGCGGCAACGGTGAAATTGATGGAGAACTGCGTGTGGTGGAGTAGAGAAGATGTAATGGGTTTTGGTGGGGCAAAGAGGAGGAGGAAGAGAGAGTGATGGAGAAGAGTGGGAAAATGCAACCATAGTTATCGCCATCCCTGTTTCCACACCCAAATGTGAGGCATACATGTATGGCTAGCTACAGTGCCTGGTGCGAAGTAGATACGGTTCCTCTGCGGTGGATAATAGTTAGGGTAAAATATATTTGGCCCTAGGCTTGGTTTCGCATAATCTATAAAAAAATAAATAAATAAATAAATAAATAAATCATTATCTTATTTAAATTAAATTATTTTATTTAAATTATATCACTTCTTTATCAGATTACTTTAAATTTAATTCATATTTTACATTCATATAAAATTTATAAAAGACAAAATATATTAAAATGATTAATAAGATAAAATGTCATATTAAATCTATAATAATTTTATTTTTTTCTTACAAATATCACATCTACCTATAAAAAAATCTAACTATCTTCTCAAACATAAAAATTCTAACACATTAAAATAGTCAAAAATTAAAACAGCCTATCAAAATAGTCAACCTCCCAAATAAGGCCATTGTACTTCATGAGATTTAACATTTTAAAAAGCAAGTTTATTAACTTACTTTGGTCATATCGTTTATTTATTTATTTTTTTTATGTCTTTTCTTAAATCTCATTTCGAAATATGTTATTTTAATAATTTTTTAATTTTTTGACTAAAATATAAGGTAAAAAAATTAATACGTTTAGAATGACTTTTTAACTTTTTATAAAAAGATGTGCAAAAAGTAAAGAGGAAAAAGAATTTTTGACTTTTTTGTTTAAGTTATAGACTTTTTGATTTTTTTAATAACTTTTTGACTTTTAAGCTAAAATTATTGCATGCCAAACGAGGCCTTAATAAATAAAAAAGTCATCTTATAAATCATATCCAAAATATCCCTAAGCCTCACTTTTTTGATATAATTGTATTGAGTTCTTTTGTAATTTTAATTTATATAATGCTTAGCCTCTTTTTCATTAATAATTTGTTAATTATATAGAAGAAAACTGATATTATCATATATTTTATACAAAAATGTATACTTTGAGTCTGTTTGAGAACACTTAAAAAAAAGTCATATCTTTTTTCAAATTCTTTTATCTTTAGTGACCCTTTTTTTCACAATTATATCATTTTTTTTTCCAGTCCATCTTATGCAGACAAATCTAAAAATTTTACAAAATGAAAAATTCCAAAAAATATTGAAAAAGCCAAAAAAAAACCACTATTTTTTATTTATTTTTGCCTTTCTTAAATTTTTAAATTTTTTGATTTGTCTCATCGAGTTGAATCTAAAAAACTTAAAACTTTTTTATTTTTTTAAAAAATTTACTAAAAATGAAAATAAGCCTCCAAAAAAAACCCCAAACAAACACCCACTTTATGTTATTTATTTTTGTATTTTCACAATATTTGCATTAGATATGATTCATTTAACCTAACTAAGAAGGAGTTTAATGTAATTATGTCAAAATTATAGAGTTTATTGTATTTTTTCTAAACCTTAGGGGAGGTTAGTATGATTTACTCTAATAGTTTTTGATTTATTAATTTTATGGTAAATTACACTGACCTCCTTTGAGGTTTGAAAAAAAATACAATAAATCTCACAATTTTGGTATAATTATACTGACTTTCCTTTTAGTAAGGTTAAAAAAACTTAAATTAATGCAAATGGTATGAAAATACAATAACAAACAAGATAAAATATATATTTTAGTGCGAAAGATGTGACAATATTATTTTTTCATTCATACGATTAACAATTGTTTTATGAAAATGGAGACAAGTGTTATATGAAATAAAATCTTATGGTAGCTTAGTGTAATTATGCCAAATTTATGGAACTTATTGTATTTTATTCAAATTGCAAGGAAGATCAATGTAATTTACCCTTAATTTTAGGAAAAATTAGTCTAAGGTCTCTCTTCCATTTTTAGTAATGTAAGAGATCCACAATATTATGGTGTGACGTCTAAGGTCCCTTAGTGAGCTGCTTCCCGAAGAGCGTGAGATCAATTTATATAGTTCAGTGAGCCATCTCTCTCTCTGTCAGATACATAAAGGCTTGTTGGGCTTCGATTTCTAGGGTTTCTTTCTCTTAGATTCTCCTAATCGACTCGTTTTTTCTTCGAATTTCTGTTTTTGGAGGTCTTTGGGGTCAAATTCGCAGCTGATTGAGAGATAGTGATGGTTTAGTTGATGAATTATGGGAAATCTCCGCCGGAATCGGAATCTTAGAGCATGAAAATGGTGTTGATGAAGCTGGAGGTGGAGGACCCTTTGGAGGACAAACATGGCCCCCTCAACAAACGATCTAAGCTCTTCATGGCCCTGGTGCAGAGGCTCACTAGTCTCTCATCTTCCTCACGATCATCTGAAAAGAACAAAACTTCACAATCTAAACCTAGAAACAATACAAATAGTTATGAAATGAAGAGTATCAAAGTTGATGATGATGAGTCCTTTTTAAGCCCAATAGATCAGAATTGTGGTGGTCACAAGTATAGCTCAGTTTTGTTGAAAGTTGAAAGACGAGGGCAGCAAAGTTTCATGGTGATGAAAAGGAAAAAATGGTGATCAACAAAGACTCTCATGTCATCCACAAATAGCTCTCATCCCCTGGTTTGCTCTCTCTCTCTCTCTCTATATATATATATATATACATGGTTGATTGCTAAGTGGGTGTGAGAGATAAGTAGAGAGACCTGCCATTGGAAATCATAGAAAATGAAATTTCTCTGGGTTAGAGAGAATTTCTTTGGAAGTGAATTTCTTTGTACTTGAAATTCTCTAACTAAAAAGAAAACTGTGTGCATGCGCATGCCCATGCCCCAATTCATGGGTGCACACTTTTGTTTGTCCTGTAATAACTACTCTGGAAACAAATAAGGGGAAAGAGACCTTTACTAATAAGAACATACTTTCAAGATCTTGAATTGTCTTGGCACTTCATTTTTTCTAAAATTGTGACGCCGCAAATTTTGACAATATAATACAGCGATACACCGGGGTTTAACTAGCAGATACACATCATTTTTAAGCACAAAATACAAATAATTATACTAAAAGAAAATATTAATAATAGTTACAGATAAAATTCTTCAAGTCTTTAAATATAGATTTTGAGTTTATAGAGTTTTGATAGGAAAATGAATTCAAGAGAGGAAAAGATTTGCTGTTAGAATTTTAAGAAAGAAAGAAAAGCATACCATTTCTTGATTAATACACATTTATACAAGAGTGTAGGCCTAGACTACAACATATATATATATATATATATAAAGAGCATGTATTAGGAGGGGAAAAACAAGTGGTAAAAAAACTTGAAAGAAGAGGTGATATATGTTTACTTTTGTTGTATAAGACTCAACACAATTCTTCTTTTTCTTCTTTTCTTCTCTCTCTCTCTCTCTCTCTCTCTCTCTCTCTCCCTCTCTCTCTTTTTTTTTTCCCAAGATCACTCTCTCTCACTCCTCTAGTGCATGGCTGAAAAAATGTGTAAAATGAGGGGGAGAAGTATGCATATATATAGAGAAAGGATTGGGAGGTTTCTTAAGGGCCAAGTTCTATAAGTGTAATTTGTCAAAGTTTCCATCAAGGCCCTTTCATCCATCACATGGTCAACTACTTAGGCTCCAAGACATATATATATATATATATATATATATATATAAGATATTTGTATATATGAACATAAAATAATAGGCATAAATAAATTAATTAAGAAAGTACTACAATTAAGGCTTGGAATGAAATAAAATAGAAGTATATAGGGACCAAGTCTAAATTTATGAAACCTTTATATTTAGTATACAATATACTAACATTAAAAAATAGTTAGAATAATAAATTTGGGTGTCGTTAAATTAAAGCGCAAACAAAGGCGAGAAATCGAGCAAAAACGGCATTATTGAGAATTAAGATTTAAAGTGATTAATCTATAATTATAGGGTCTAATAATTAATAATAGGGTTTTAAAGGTGATTATTAATCTACGGGATCGATTAGGGTTTACTCGAATTAATCTGTGATGCTTCCCGATTCTATGGTTTAAAACACAATTAAGTGAAAATTCAAGGGCTTTATTGAAATAACTCAGGGTTAGGGATTTAACGATAATTACAAAAATTAGGGTCTCTACAGAAATAGTCTGAGAGATAAGTAAAGACCTGCCATTGAAAATCACAGAAAATGAAATTTCTCTAGAAAGGTTTCTCTAGGAATTTCACTGATTTTGAGAAAATTTCTCTGAAGAATTTCTCTGGCTTAAAGTGATCCAGAGAAATTCTTCCTTCATTTTTCTCTGGAGATAATTTCTATCCAGAGAAATTCTCTGGGATTTTGGCCATTGTGTAAATTTTCTCTGAGAAATTCTCTGGGAAGTCCAGAGAAATAAAGAAACCTCCCAGAGAAATTCTAGTTCTCTGGAGAGAAATTCTCTCAGAGGTCTAGAGAAATTCTCTAAGAAGTCCAGAGAAATTCTCTGGATGAAATTTCTCTGGATGGGAATTTCTCTGGAGAGAAATTTCTCTGGATCAAATTGAGAGACCTTAGACATTATGAAAATATTTGGTATCCTTTATGCTATAAAATCTTAATACTAGGGACCTTTAAAAAAATCCCCTTAATTTTATTATTGGGTAAATTACATTTACATTCCATCAGGCTTGGAGGAAATATAGAAATTATAATAATTTTAGTAAAATTAGTATGATCATAATTAATGGAGATGACGCAGAGATCTAAGGATATATATATATATATATGTGTGTGTGTGTGTGTGTGTGTGTCCATATAACTAACCAATTATTTATGAAAAGTGAGTTAAGTCTCATGTGTTATGTTAATTAGAACTTTTTTAAGGAAATCTAATATAATTATGTTAAAACAGTGAGGCTTGCTGTCTTTTTTCAAATCTTGTAAGAGTTCAATATAATTTGTCATTCATTATTTGACAATCTAATTGAATAAAGTGATTTGTTAAGAAATAATGACAAAAATAATTATTTCTCTAATTACAAAAATAATTATTTCTCATATTTAGTTTATAAATTGGGCCAGAAATTATGAGAAAGATTTTACCAATTTTAAAAGTAGTGAA